TCATGCTGGCAGACCACCCAATTTTTCCGATAAAGGCAAGAGTCGAAATATTTTTATGTTAATACATAAATAGTCTAAAATGAACCTAAAATTAGGCCCTCTTCATTTTAAGATTCTTCAATACTTCCACAACTGGCCAAGCGTATGTTATACTTATAGCTTTAGATATACTATTAATAGCATGTCAGTGACGCGAGCTGGGAAGATTTTACCCATCCGAAAACGCATAACGCATAAGAATTTATAATATTGATGGTATTCTAGAGGGATAACATCACTTTTATACAAATTTAGTAGGTCTTGTTTTTTCTTAACCGAAATGGGCCTACATTTATTTACGCGTTTGTGATTTTTATTTAATTTGCATTTAGAGGAAGGCCTTTACCCAAAACATGTGTTTCCTTATACACAAAGTAACATTAAAATTATGTTTAAACTTAACATAAATGCATTTGTCTTGTTTTAGGTGCCAATATGATTCTTGTAATATACTTGGTCTTTTATGTGCACATGTTTAATACAATTATCTGGTTCTGCTAATACATAGTTTAGACAGTTTTAATGTTAGACATGTTATTATCTCAAAAATAAAAAAAAAAACTTATCTTGTTTTGGCAGTAACCCTACGATATATGTTATGGTGAAACTTCATTATAGAAATTAAAAAAAGAGTATTAATCAATAATTATTAAAAACAATTTTCTTATGGGTTTCTGTTCTGATCTACCTTAGAGTCTCTTCGTTACACTACAGTGTTCCCCTGTAATTTTTTTATAATCTTAATATTATAGTAATATTATGAAGTTTTTTCAAAAAGTAAAGAGTTATAATAATTAATCTCAGAATAAATTATTTCATTCGAGTATAGAATTGTGAATTAATCCAAGAAAGCTCTTACATTTATTATAAGTATGATATGCTCTTAAAACCCACTATTGCGTACTTGATTCAATGTTATAAAAGGATTCGATTCAACGTATTTAAATTTCAAGACAAGAATTAAACAATTCGAATGAAAAACCTATGTACTTCAGAAAAGATCAGCTAGTACAAATTCACTGCACGGTGTTGCCACCTAAAACTCATTTTAAAATGCAACAACTGCACTATTACGGTAGATATATAACTGGCACAAGTTGAGATGTGATACTTATTATTCGGAAGTCAGAGACACAACGCATTTATAGAGAATTTGACAAATTGGCATTATAGCACGTGTTCATCCTATTGTCCATTTTCTAACATATTTGCATCGTATCGTTAGGGTTGCGTTTTACTTTTTGTTAGAAATTTTTTGTGATTCAATTAATAAGTGTATAAATAAATTAAATTGAAATGGAACATTTGTTAAATGAATGGGATCTCAGCAACCTAATATCAATATTTAAATGTAAGTATATTTAGTTCACTTCTTGTTAGGTATTATATTATATAAGTAAATTTATAATCATAAGAACACGAAACAAACTGGAATAGAAGTAAAAAAAAATGTATGATACTGGATAACGACTTTTTGGAAAGACGACTTCTGCCTTGCTATGAAAATTCTGATTTCAAGATTCTTACAAATTTAATAAGCTTACATTTTATTTTATTATAACATAAAATAATAAAGGCCTATTTACATTAAAAAATATTTACTATAATTATAAGAAAAGGTTAGTAAAATATGCAAAACTTATTTGAGAAGTCTAGAAGGACGTGCTTATCTACCTACCCACATTTACTAAAAATATTTACTTTGTAGATACGACCTCTTATCTTAGTAGGACATATTTTTATGTTCCATTTAAGTTTTGAAGTTATAAAATTATTTTTTTTTTAATTATAGGTGGGACACCTCAGAGCTCAGAGGAATTTGGTATATTAACTAAAAGCAATTTTGAAAAATGTTTTTCGATGGATAGCTACCAGTGAGAACCCTATTAAAAAGCAAGAATAGCCTGATCTTATTTCAAGATTATTAATTTCTTCAATGAAACTAACCTATAATTCAACCAAAATCAATATATTTATGTCAAAAATCATATTATTATTGTTACAAATTTAGTTGTATTGGATTTAAGAACAAGGTATTATTGAATATAAATAAAGTATATTTAAAACAAATGTAAGACTATTTCATTTAAGATGTACATAATACTGCAATTCAGCAATAGATACTTTTCATTTAATTAGAGGTATTATGATTAGGGCAAGTTGATTCTAATCTTGAAGCAAGGCTTATTAGCTATTTTTGAATAAGTATTACTAGAATGTCAAATCGAGACAAGTTTTACTTGCGGATATACAAATACAACAAAGCATTGAAATAAGACCATTCATCTTGAATATAGTACACCTTTTTTTCTATGTATACTAAAAAAAATTGTAAATAACATTTTGTTAAAAAAAATTTTTTTGACACTCAATATACTTCCACAGCTGACCAAACACATTATATACTTATAACTATAGATATATTATTAATATTAGCATGTGGTGTCGCAAGCTGGGAAGATTTTACCCATGCGAAAAATACATAACGTGCATATACAAAAAATAAAAAAAATTGTAAAAATATTTTATGTAAAAAAATTTTTTTTTTTTAATTTTTGTAAAAAACGAAAAAAAAAATTTTTGTAAAAAAAATTTTTGTAAAGAAAAAATTTGCCAAAAAAAAATGTATGAAACCAGAATTTCTTCTTAATGGTTGTTAAATTAAGAAAATGATGGTTTTGATTTTAAATAAATGTAAAAATCTTTTAATTTTAAAAAAATATCTATAGGTCGATGTTTTTATTTTTTTTTATTTTTGATAAATAAAATAAAAAAAAACATATTCTTTTTAATATATTGAACAGAAGTTGTGTACTTTTATTTATTCTTTTAACTGGTTTTTAATTAAATTTTTTAAATCAAATAAAAATAACTTCAAATTGTGTGCTAAGTTTTGGTGTTCCTAGAGTTACAGTGCATTTTGTTCAATTTTGCTTGTTTGCAAATTTGCATCAGCGTAGCGTCAAAGATTACCTTTAAATTCAAGTAGATCGTGACGAATATGGCATTTTTCGTAGTTATCGTACAACACAGAAATGTTCAGAGCGTGAGAGATTCAGAAACATATGGGGTGATTCAAAAGTGATGAGCCAAAATTTAACTGTACATTCAAAATATAGTAATGATATTTTGCTCATTAATAATCGACAATTTTTAGTTTGTAACTAATAATTTTTTTGCCAGAAAAGTATTTCTTGTCTTCAAAAAAGAAAGTTTTTACAAAGCTGACATTTCAAAATAGTTATTTTTGATGCTAGATTGCTAATTATCAATTTTAGATTAAAGAAAACTAATTTAAGTATTCAAAAAAAATTCGCAACTTTAGGATGATCAAAAATTGTTTTAATACTTAATAAATATGTAAAAATCAACTTTTAATGACAGTTTTCGAAAGAGTTACAAAAGTCGGTCTCTTTCTTACTTAGATATTGTTTACAAGGAAGGTTGCCGGTTTATAATTAATAAAACAGTACTTGGTACTTACTTCTCAATATTTTTAGGTAGTAGGTAACTGTTAGCCATCTGCATTTTAGATATTACCTATAATTAATTTCAACAAAGAAGTCTCGTCTATAAAATTTTAACGCTAATGATGTTTTTAACGTACAGCAAAAACTTCATTTTCAAAATGCCGATATTTCTGTTAGCTTTTTTCCTAAAATAAATAAATAACTTTAAATATGACTATATATTTTCTTCTTGAATAACCGTTTATTTTATTTGACTTTTAAAGAAATTCTTTTGATATTTTATTTTTGAATTGTGCTAATATAACATCATTATATTTAAAATTTTCAATTGATCAAAAGTTAGTATTTCCTGATAATAAGTGAAAACTAGCTGTAATCTGTTAAGTGTTCAAATAAAAACAGAAAGTTTTTTTATATATTAAAAATAATTCAAAATATATCCACCACTTTTTGACATGAACCAAAAACCCAAATATCGAAGAGACATGGTTTTAAAAGGAAAATGATGTTTTAAGAAATATCGCTAGCGACATTATTAAACAGGGTGTTTCAAAATTAGAGTAAAAAACAGCCTTTAAATTAACCCTGAAAATATTGATTTTTATGAAAATATTAAATATACAAATTAAAATTGATAAAATTATATATAGTGTGCTAAAATTTATCGAAATAATATTAAAAAGAAAAAAATTATAATACTTTCAATTAGACCCAAATTTTTTTGTGTTTTTTTTTATTTGAGTGTATATTATTATAAATCTAGCATTCCATACCAAAGAAAGATGCATACATCTTTTTTATTTTCAACAAAATCATTCAACTGATTCATCTTTTCAACCCTTACAATTCAGATAAAAAAGAATCACTACATGACTTCTCACTATTGTAAACCACCTCCTACAAAGCATATTTTCAATATTTGCTGAGAATGTTTGCGATTTATATTTGCAAAACCCTTAAAAGGATTTAAACCGCCCTTTTCCCACGTTTGCCCGTGATTTGTCTGAATAAGTCCAAGTGAAAGTGACAAATATGGGTATTTAAGTAAATGCATTATACCAACCACTTATAGATATAGTTTTCAACTCTTTACCTGTTTCATATTGACAAACAGGTCACATTTTTGATGCCAGCTGGAATAGGTAACGCATTATGGCTACTAGAGTTGTTTTGAACTTAAAGCCATCACAGGCGTATTGAAGTTTGACTTTTTATTTCGACCGCAGTAGGTATGTAACTAAGGTTAGTATTTGTTTATGTAAATCATGATAAACATTAAAAAAACCTATGTTTTAATAAACTCCTAATTACACAAATCTTTCATGTATTACACAATATATAATTTTCAATTCATATAAACTAAATATATTCGAAGAAATCTACAAGATTTCCTTATTAAGTCAAAGAATAGAGCTTTTACCTCATTAGCCTGAATAAAACTTCGATCTAATAGACAAAAACACGCATATTTTAATCTGCTTATTTCTTTAGTTTAATCAAAAAGAAATAAACTCTCAAAAGCAAGAGTTGCGCATTGCGCAACACCGGCTACTCTTCGGAGCGTCAGTGAATGTGAACGCGAAAACGAAAAAGCGAAGGAAGAAGGAGAAAATGAAGAAAAATGGCGGCAACTTCGATGGCCACGGTCGCGGCACCGGCATTGGCAAGAGCAAGAGCAAGAAGTATCAACGACCTCCGATTGCCTAGTGAACCAAACCCGTTCCTCGTTTGTTTCGTTATTCGACGTCTGCACACGTCAACGATCATTCCATATTCGCCTACTTGATGGCAATGGTGTAGCTACCGGTTTTTTATTTTTCGATTTTAATGTTGAGCGAATTATTTTATTGAATGTTGAGTATTCTAAGACATAATAGTACTAAATTGCAATCATTATCATTACATATCAGTTCGATATATTGCTAGTCCTAGTAATAAATGATATACTTTATAAACAGGGTGTTTCAAAAAGGTATGTCATAAATTCTTCCTCAGATAGATTACCAAAAAATAAGTGGATTTGGCTATATTAACCTACATCAAAAACTGGATCCTAACAAAGTTACAGGGTGTTAAACTAACATTTAGAAAAACGTTTTTTTTTTTGTAAAAAGTTTGCTGTTGCGATATTCTCTTTGAAATTTTTGCCAGTGCTATAGATTTGAAGGCCCAATATGCTAAAGAGAAAAAAAATGAAAGCGACCCCTTTAAAAAAAGTTGGGGGTAAGGTACCTTTTAACCCCCCCGTATTTTTTTTTGTCATAAAGAAACTTGCTTTATCGATCCTAAAATCAAAAAAACTATGAATTTTTAATTTTTTTATTGCAAAATGAACTTTTTATCTTTCTTAGTTAACGAGGTATTTACAATTTTTTAACTGAATTTCTAGAGCAATTCGTCCGTCCTGGACTTGACTTATCAACAAAACTAAGAGTAAATCAAGAGTAATTGTACAAAAAACGCATATAAATATCATTGGTGTGCCTAGGGATGTGCTTGAGCGACCCCTGCAAAAAATACCTCTTTTATTTATATTTTTGTAAAAATTTTTATAATATTGGATTGGCGCCATAAAAATGGTGTGCCACCCGTTCTTATGGGTTCACCATGCCACTGACAAAAATACATGTTAGTTTGGAAATGTATTTATTAAATTTAATAGTAATTAAAAAAAAATATTTTTTTAATTAAAAAATTAACAATTAAAAATAAACACGACAATAATTATTAAACATATATTATAAACTATGTAATTTAGTAAATGTTCAACATGAATACAAAAATATAAATAAGAGGTAGTTTTTGCAGGGGCGGCTCAAGCACAGTCCTAGACACACCACTGATTTTTATATGCATTTTTTGTACTATAACTCCTGCCCTACTCTTAGTTTTGTTGATATGTTAAGTCCAGGACGGACGAATTGCTCTAGAAATTCAGTTAAAAAATTGTAAATAGCTCGTTAACTAAGAACGATATAAGGTTCATTTCACTATAAAAAAAAATTTAAAATTCATAGTTCTCTTTGATTTTAAGATCGATAAAGCAAGTTTCTTTATGTCAAAAAAAATACGGGGGGGTTAAAAGGTACCCAACCCCCCAACTTTTTTTAAAGGGGTCGCTTTCATTTTTTTCTCTTTAGAATATTGGGCCTTCAAATCTACAGCACTGGCAAAAATTTCAAAGAAAAAATCGCAACAGTAAACTTTTTACAAAAAAAAAACGTTTTTTCTGAATGTTAGTTTAACACCCTGTAACTTTGTTAGGAGCCAGTTTTTGATATAGGTAAATATAGCCAAATTCACTTATTTTTTGGTAATTTATTTGAGGAAGAATTTATGACAAACCTTTTTGAAACACAGTGTATACTTTATATACTTTATTCTTGAGATAATCCCACAGCTGGCCATTTAATCGATTTATTGAGAGATATTTCGTTTAAATAAGTTCTTACAGTTCCAGCACAATGGGATGTTGTCCCATCCTGCTAAAATCAAACTATTTCATTCCGTTTTGTTATTTTTCGAAAATGCCCATCCGTCAGATTTTTTTATGAACGAAATTCAGCAATTTTTTTTTAAAAAGTTCGTCAAAAATTATTTCTCGAAAGTACGCATCCGCCAAATTTTGTAAAGTAAATAATAAGGGTCCAAAAACTGTTCCTTGAGGAACACCACACTTTTTGTCTTTATAATCACCAAAAGTACCATTAATATTAACTGTTTGTTTTCTATTTTTTAGGTAACTTTTTATTAAATTGTAAGCAACACCTCGAAACACAATATTATTCCAAAGCATCCATTAATTTCGTATAATCAACTGAATCAAATGCCTTTAAAATATGAACAAAGATACATATAGAAAGCTTTTTATGATCTATGGAATTGTTTATTGCAAAACTGAAGTTGAGGTGTTTTCCTTAAAACTATCTGGTTATTAAGAAATAAAGTAATTAGAGATTATAGATATAAGTCAAGATTACATTTAGTTTATTTTCTTCTTTATACACTGGAATTATCATTACTACTTTAAGACAATCAGAAAATTTGCCTTCATTTATTTATTGATTGGTTGATATGGGAAATAATAACAGGACATAATTCTTTTAAAATTTTTAAAGTAATGTTATTTCTACTAGGTTTTTTTGAAGTAATGTTATTTTTACTAGGTTTTTTTTTTGAAGTAATGTTTTTTCTACTAGATTTTTCGTTATTTTTTTAACGTAATTATGGTAAAGATGATTTTATTGACATTTGTGTTCTTTCTCTTTTGTATTCTACCAAGTTTAAAATAATAAAATGGTATATTGTCACTGACAGTTCAGCAATTTTCGGAAAATTAGTCGCTAAAAATTGTTCGTTAAGTTCACACCGGTAAAAAAGACAACTTTGAAACTTTGCACATCAAACTTGAACAATGTTTTATCGCATAAACTACATATTTTTCGATAAACTATCAACTGATAAAATCCTGATAATATAAATTGGATCAACCTGTATATATTCATCAGATTTTTTTCTTCGAGTAACCATACATTATAAATAGATCTTAAGTTAGAATTAAAATTTTCATTAACGGTTTTGAATAAATTGCAATGTTGGAAACACGTGCTGCATGTTTTCTGTGATACTTCGTAGAATTATGATCGAGTTGGTATTTATAAAAAACGGAAGTAGTCGTGCATAGAAGAAACATTGAATTACAGATCCAACCTAGTCAAATTCCTTAGGAATCAATGTTAAACTATATATAAATCGTGTCATAAACCAAGATATATAAATTTTTTTCATAAAAATACACACACAATGGGCCATGATCACATGTGAGATATGCTGTTTTATAAATTATATTGTAATAGTTAGTCGCTATACAAGTTATTCTAAATAATCAGTTCGTTAAAAAAGCCAAAAGTTTTTTAATTAAGCCTAATTGAAATTTAAAATTTGAAATGTATACGTTATCGGAAATAGACCAATCAGCTTGTGTCGAAGTTTTTTTTTTGTTATACAAAGCCAAGCCAACGAACAAACCGACACACAGAATGTGGAAGTGAACGCACATCTTAGTGACACTTAAAATTGACACCACCTAGACCACCTAACCTAACATTCGTTGTTGTTATTTCTTTTGTCTTTGCTAATTGGTTTAATTTTATTATTAATATGAATTTGTCAGCTGGATTTATGAAAGCTAAATCAAGTGTTTTGCCCATTGAAAAACAAGATATGATTACTGCATTTTTTTAACAATACTCAGTTTATAAGTGCCAAAGAAGCCTGTTAAAAGCCTGTTAAGAAAGAAAGGTATGTAAAACTTTATTTATAATTTGTTTTAATAGTAGTTACAGTTTATGTGGGGTAATACACCTTATAGTAAAAAAATATTTATCTCAGGCCATTAGGATTATAGAACATTAACAGTTTTTTTTTAAATATACCTTTTACCACCCTGTTATATTTTGGAATACCCTCATTTATATGTATAAGAAAAAAATATTTTTCCGATAAAATATTAGTGTACACTGATATCCAAAAATATAACACTAAAAACTGAAAGGATATATCTATGCCTTGAAGTAGAATAAGAGAGGGACGTTTAAAGTTTTGCTACCGGTAGATATTAAATGATTTCAGTAATTAGAAGTAAAAACATAATTACGTATTAAGTGACTGATAAATAGCAAATTTGTTATTGTATAAAGCGAGTTTATACATTTTGACCCTTTTTGCTTATTTTTAGATTATCAAAAACAGGACTCTCGTAGATTGTTAAACATTAAAATTTATCATGTTTACCTCAAAAATTAAAAATAAATAACATATAAAAATGTATTTAGAAGGGTAGGGTGCAAATATTTACTGCAATACTGTTTTTATTTGGTTAAAAATTACATATCGTTGTAAATAATATTGTAATTTAAGTACATTTTTGTATATTCATAACTACTTTTTGTAATGGTAAATACACTCTTTTACATTTTTTATTGCACACATGTCTAATGTTTACATGGATAAATCTATGATAATATTTCTGAATTGAGATAATAAGAACACAAATATGTTTATGTTTTATGAAATAATTTGAAACAGAAAAATAATAAAAATTAGTAAAAATATCTGATAATTAGGCCAAATGTTTAGAGTAGGGCTCTTGAAAATACTAAAAAATTTATCACTTTATTAAATAATGTTTTATTTTTAGATCTGCCAAGCAATAATATGGGGATAATTTCTTTTTCCATAAGAGAGAAGGAGACAAATTACACCTAAACATAAAGTACGGCAAAAACCTTATGATGTGGTTGTTGTAATTAACAAAAATGAAATTTTTAGTGCACAATGCTTAGGATATGCTGCATCTCAAGGTTTGTAATATTTATTATGCTTTTTTGTTTTTGTATCACATATAATAAACAGTGTATAAGGCCCTTTATTCCTATAAATATTTTTTTCTAATTTTGACATATAAAGAGACATTTTTTGTAATCGCAGCAAGTGTTAAAATGATCTAGAAATAGATTTTGTAGTGAACCTAGTAATAATTATGATACCAAAGAATGCTGCAGAGCACCTATGAAATTTTGAGTTAAAACATATGCCATATTTTTAGGCTATTTTTATACCCTTTTCAAAAATTTTATGCTCCCCGTTTTCTGAAATGCTCTGATATCTTCGAACGAAGTCAGCAAAGCACCTCTGTTTTATAAAGT